GGCGCGGATTCGACCACGCGAGATCCTGGTCCATGGCAACGACAGCCAGGTACGGAAGCTAGTGATTGCAGCGAATCCACAGGCTGCAATAACAGCATTGGGCGCGGTGGCGGCGCTGGAGGAGACAGCAGAGGAGACAGACGCACAACCGCCGGCAAACGCTAACGTGCATTGGCCAATGGCAGCCGAAGCGCAGCAGGCAGAGGCATCACGACTGGTAGCAGCAGCAGAGCTTCATAGCGGCGAAAGACAGGCCTGCGAGGCCGTAGTAGGATACGTACTGGCAACACAGGGGCTCCTAGCACCGCTACAGGCACCTCAGCAATATGCGGCAACGGGACACATGCGGATGGGAGCAGCAACGATTCAGGCGCTGGAGCTGGTGCGGCCGCTAGGACGCAGCGGCACAGAAGCAGGACCAACATTGCTGGGCGAGATTGATCGCACACGCACCAGCGCCGGTGCACGACTACTGGCACAGCGACTGCTGGCACCGTCTACGAGCGCGGAGGAAATTGAGCGGCGTCTGGATTTGGTGGACTTTTTCGCAGACTCGCGCGCACGCACACGCACCGCTACGCTGCTGGACGGCGTTGGTGACATCGAGCGAGCTGTGGCGAAACTGTCTCTTAATTGCGGCGGGCCGCACGACCTGCTGCTGATTGCTCAATCGCTGCGAGCTGTTGCGCAGATCCGGGCGACGTTGCGCAGTCTGAGTCGGGATAATAAGGCTAGCGAAGCTGATGAGATGAGTGGATCAACGGCAAAGCCAGCTGGCGGCTCGACAGAGTCGTCTGCGCAGGCCACCGACAGGTCATCCGAGCCGCCGGCTATTGCAATACGTCGTATGGCCCTAGCGCTCCAGGGGCTACCGCGGCTGGCACGAGAAATTAGTGCGGCCATCCGCACCGACGCAGCGCGCGACGTACGCGCATGCGGGTTTCTCAACGCAGAGAGCAGCAAGGCAGTGGCACAGCTGCACGCAGCGCTGGAGGAAAAGGAAGCGGAGCGGGGAGCTCTACAACAGAAATGGCGACACGAGTACTCCTGCGCGTCACTACGATTGGACGGCGCAGCATTGGGAGCACTAGTGGAAGTGACGCGACGGGATGCAACGCGATTACGCGCACAGACCGATGCGGGATTCCGACTGGTGCAGATGCTGCGTACACGCGCGCGCTTCGAGCACAGGAGCTGGACGCATTTGCTTGCGGAGACCGACCTGCTGCGTGCGCGACTGCGAGCCGAAGAGCTGCGAGCGTTCGAGCAGCTACGCGATGCAGTGCTAGCGGCGGCGCCGGCGCTACGCACCAACAGCCGCGTGTTGGCAGCCATTGACGCCGCGGCAGCCTGTGCGACTGTCGCTGCCGAGCGCTGTCTTGTACGCCCGCGTCTGGTGCCACCCACGACTGCGCACGTAATAGCCAATGGCCGACACTCTGTGGTTGAGACGCAGCTGCTGAACGATGGTCGACAGTTCGTGGCGAACCACTGCCGCTTTGGAGCTGCGCGACGGTTGCTGTTGGTTACGGGACCCAATATGGGCGGAAAGAGCACGTTTCTACGGCAGGTTGCGCTGGTGTCGGTTCTGGCACAAGCCGGGTGCTTTGTGCCGGCCGCCGCTGCACGGCTGCATGTGGTCGACGCGATCTACACGCGCATCGGCGCCCGCGACGACGTGGCGCGTGGGCAGTCGACGTTTATGGTGGAGATGGCCGAGACTGCGGACATTCTGCTGCACGCCACGGAGCGGTCGCTGGTAATTCTCGACGAGGTAGGCCGCGGCACCGCCACAGCTGACGGCGTGGCCATCGCCTACGCTACACTGCGCCATCTGCACGACGTTGTCCGCTGCAAGGCGCTGTTTGCCACGCACTACCACGAGCTGCTACCACATGTACGCCGTCTGCCTGCTCTGGCGCCATTGCACACCGCCGTCCATCAGAGCTCAGACGGCGCCTTTGCCTTTCTCCACCGCATTGTTCCTGGCGTCTGCGCTTCCTCGCATGCACTGTATGTTGCTCAGCTCGCTGGCATCCCAAAGCCTGTTTTGGCTGTGGCGCGGGCCTTTGCTACTGCAAATTCTTCTAATCCAGCTTAGCACAGTTGTCCTCCGCTCTTCTTCCATTTTTCTATTGAAAATGTCTAGAATCAATAACCAACGCAAAGTCTGCGATTCTGACTCTGACTCTGACTCTGTGTCAGAGCTGTTGTGTGATTCTGCGTCGTCTTCAACCTCCTCTGAATCAGCTACTTGGTCTCGACCAGAAGCAGTAATCGATCGAAATGTTCCATCTCATTCGGAAACCGTGTCTGTTCGCAATGCACTGGCTGCTCGTTCTGCTGCACTTGCCAGCGGCAGGATGATTCCATTAGGTACGTCGAAGACTGTTCCTTCGCACGTTAGTAATGCTGTTGCCCACGATCTGGTCCTGCAGAACTCTGCGAGAACGTCTTCTGTCCGTATGCGCCAGGTACCCGGTCAGGAGAAGCTGGGCATGCTGGCAAGAGCTCCGAAATCCGCCGCTGGTGCTTCTTGGCGGTCTGCCACTGCAATCGATACTCCGACTGTTAGCTCGCCTGCTGAGCGCAATAGCTATCGCCAGGCCGTCCGTTACCGCATGCAGCTTACTTCTTCTGCGCCTGTTCCCCCTGAGGATCAGCGCCATCAAACATTATCCCGCCCAGTTCACAACTCCCGTCCAAGCGGGTCGTTGGGCGCATCAAAGGAACCCAATGAAGAGGATATGCGCACTATGCTGGACGGACTTTCTCGTGTTGCAATTTCAGATAACCTTGGATCGCAGCCAGAAGAGGTCGTTGTTACACTCAAACCTCATCAGCGCCAGGCTGTTGATTGGATGATGCGCTGCGAGCAAGACAGCGGGCTTCGTGGGGGCATCCTTGCCGATGACATGGGCCTTGGGAAAACAGTCCAGTCTCTGGCCCTGTTAATGGCTCACAAACCACAAAGTTCTACAGCTGCCAATCCATCTCCCCACAGAACCTTGGTTGTTGCCCCTACTGCCACTCTTGGTCATTGGAGACGTGAGGCCCAATCTCGTATACGGCCTGGCCTACTTCACATTCTAGTCTATCATGGTTCTTCGCGCAAAAAGTCTCCTAAATCTCTCGCTGAGTACGACCTAGTCATTACCTCCTATGGAATTGCTGCTGCTGAATGGGGCGGCACCTTCAATCATCATATGCTGGAGATGCCTGTTGAAGAATTGGAATATTCCGACAAGCATACTTTATCCTCTGAAAACTATGGTCCATTATTCAAAACTACTTGGCGTAGGATTATTCTTGATGAAGCTCATGTGCTAAAAAACCGCAGAGCCCAAAAGACAATGGCCTGCTCAGAGCTGGTTAGCCAATATCGTTGGTGTTTGACTGGCACTCCCATCCAGAATTCAATCAATGACATATATCCATTGTTGCGCTTCCTACGCATTCCCAACTACTGTTGCTTTGAGAACTTTCAGAATCTCATTAAACATGGAGATCATATAAACATGTCCGATATAAGGTCACTTTTGAAAAGGTTCATGTTGAGACGCACAAAGGCTACTATCGAATCCGCATCTGTTCAGCTTCCACTCCGTTTTCATTACATTCATCGTGTGGATTTGTCCATGGCTGAACGCTTATTCTATGACTGTGTTATATTGATGAACACTAGTTCTGATGTCGACAACGAAAGCGAGACTATGATGCAACTGTTCCATAGAATGTTGCGTATGCGTCAGAGTACTAGTCATCCTTCTGTGGCTATTCCGTCTAACTCTGTTTCCAACAAATATTTTACTCTGGGCCATCTGCAAAATTTAACCACAAGTGACTTTTGGCTTAATACCGATCATCCTATGTGTTCTTTGCTATCGTCATCATCGGCGGATAACCTTCTATGTCGCCATTGCCATGCATTGCTTGATCATAAGCTTCCTGTCTCCGTGTATCGCTGTGGTGCGATTGTCTGTTATAATTGCGCGCACAAAGATATGGTTAACCCAGAGATATGTCCAGGTTGCGAGAAGCAAGCAGATGGACTGCTTATTGACCCCAGAAATACACACGCTCTTGCAGACAATGAGCCTGATAATGGTGCCTTTATTGCAAAGTATGCCTGTAAATCACGGATGACTGTTGATGCTCGGCTGAAAAAGTGGTATGACACCAACTATTTTTTTACGAATTCTAAACTACCTAGCGCAAAAATGCGTAGGGTTCTGTCGATACTGAAGACAATCCAGAAGCAGCCATCTCAAGGCGAAAAGTCTGTGATATTCAGCGAGCATCTTAATGCCATGAGTCTTCTATCCACATATCTGAGCGACCATGGTTTTAATAGTTTGACCTACCATGGTAATTTGCATCAATCTCGTCGAGATAAGATTTTGGAAGAATTCTCATCCAATCCAGAAGTATCTGTGCTAATTATCAGCAAAAAAGCAGGTGCTGTTGGTGTTAATCTCACTGCTGCCAATCATATTATTATTGAATCTTTATGGTGGAATCCTGCTATTGATTCTCAAGCAATTGATCGTGTCTATCGTATAGGCCAAACAAAAGAAGTACATGTTCATTTACTTATTGCTCGTGATACTGTAGATGAAATGCTATTCGATATTCAGGAACGGAAACGTCGCTTGATTAATGCTGTTATTGGTGATCAATCTATTGCTGATTCTACTAAACTAACACGCTCAGATATCCTCGATGTTTTTCGCAAAATCAATACTAGATGATTTTCTTGTCTCTTGTTTGACTTCCTATAAAGTTGTTTTTTTTTGGTGTAGTGTTATTATGCTATGGGTTATTGTAGCAGGGTTTGCACATTTAATTTCTACTGTAGAGGTGCTTGTACGGAGTAATTGTAAAAGACGGTGCTCGAATTTTCATCTTGTAAAAAAAACCCACAAAATTCAGCTTGCTTTTGAAATGCCTGGTATATATAATATTTATAAGTCCTACTTTACAACTTGATTGACTAGTCTGGTGAGATGGCCGAGTGGTCTAAGGCGCTGCGTTTAGGCCGCAGTCAGAAATGGCGTGGGTTCGAATCCCACTCTCATCATAATATTTTTTGTTGGAATTATTAATTTATTTTTTATTTTTTTTACGGCTAGCAAAGTGTAGTTGTGCTAGTATTTCTTTTATTATTATTGCCAAGTTGACGTAATACTACACAGATGGATATGCTATACTGTTTCCAAAACTCATACTACTGAATGGATAGGTATCAGAGGTATATGCAAAAGTAAAAGCATAGTGTTGGGCCAGTAGTATAAACTCCTCCCACTCATCGAGAAACTCAATCTTGGCAAGGCGGGCAAGTTCGCTCTTTTGTACAAACTGTTCGTGGTATGTAGCCAAATCAACAGCCACAGCCCGATGCCATCCTCGAGTCAGAAACCTTTGGCTAGTGCTTTCCAGGGTTGGATAAGCGTGAAGACCACGAAGTTCAAGTCCTCGGTTCCGAAGGTTTTCAATCATCATTCTACCAAATCGATCATCCGGCAGAATCTGTTCGTAAGTCAGAATTCCTGAGTTTGGCATACTCTGGGTAATCCAGTTTATAATCTGATCAGAATGAAAGGAGTCCAAGTATATCAGTACACATTCGCTTAGAAACAACGTAGGCTTTTTGCAATCGAAACCACGACTGAGAAGTTTAGGAACAACTTGCGATTCAAACTCACGTAGATCACCTGCAATCAAATTGTAAGTAGATGAATGTATCTCAGCACCACCAGCTGCAATTTGTGTGTCGTCAGGTAGCATTGATCTAAGATTAGCAGTATGTCGAAAGATAGTAGCTGCTTTTTTTGCTGTTACCTCTGCGAAATCTATTTCAAAATACATGTCGATATTAAAACCCTTTTGTCGAAGTAGGAAATATGATGTGTCCACGCCAGCTCCCAGTACTACTACTTGACCATTATTGACTTTTGATATAAATTGATGCAATATGCGTTGTACACCTTCAAAACGACTGTGTGTGCCTCGGTTTATTAATGGTGCTCGTCGTTGAGAGCGTTTGACAAAGTGTCTAATAAACGGATCGGTTATATATCCCAAGTTTGCAGCAGATTCGCGACTTACTGCTGCATCATTGCTGGTTCTTTGTACCGCAATATCGTCAGAGGCTCCAGTATTCATTTTTCTTATTAGTATCGTATATGTATATTTGCAGCAAAAAAAAAGAGGTTGATGAGTACTGCGGCTTTTACTTTATCACATGAACTAAAAATTTTTGGCTATTTCGTGGCAATCGTTGTTTTTGTTGGAAAAGTTCAAATGGTGGGTTTCCGTCAGGCGGGCAGTGTGTTTGTATCGTTTGCGTGTGTATGACAGTTGGTGAGTTGTTTGATTTTTCTTTCCTTTTTGCAGACAATAAAACAGAAAGCCGCAAATGGTAGTTTGGTTATGTCGCTGACTATTGCTGATTGTGTCTGTTAAGGGTACTAGCAGTAAAAGTCAGAGAATAACTTGTGATAACATTGACGACACTTGGCGCAAAGTTCTTCTTTTTGAAGAAGTACTAGACAAACTTTATAGTCACTATATAGTGTCTAATGTACTACATTTACATATCAATAGCAATTGCATCTTTGCCAGTTAAAAGCAAATCTTCAAAACTGGAATATTGACCAAAAAAAAGAGATGTTCAGGTGGGAGAGAAACAATAGAGAACCGCTGGTGCTCTATCTTATCAAAATCGGACTGGGGGATACCACATACAACTCAATTTTCAAGCTAGTATAGTCAAACATTGGTCTTTCTCTTCATCTTTGTTTCGGAGTAATGTCTTTTTAGCACTCGTGTTGCACTAAGAATGAGTTCAATTAGTATCAAGGTTGTAGTAACTGGGGCATCTGGGCTTCTAGGCCGTGCTGTGATGAAGGAGGTTTCCAAACATGGGTACACAGCGATAGGTACAGCATTCAGCCGTGCTGGCTTGGGACTGGAAAAGCTTGACCTCAATGACACGGCTGCTGTAGAACAATTTATAAAACTTCACCAGCCACAGGCAGTAATACATTGCGCAGCTGCGGTGCGCCCAGACATTGTTGAACAAAACCAGACGGCGGCAGAACAGCTAAATGTGAAAGCAACTGGCCATCTAGCGCAGCTGGCAAAGAATATTGGAGCATACTTTGTCTATATATCCTCCAACTATGTCTTTGATGGTACTAAACCACCTTACAATGTCGGTGATACACCCAATCCGCTGAATTTTTATGGCTATACAAAGTTTGCTGGCGAGCAGGCAGCGAGAGCTGCTAATCCTCGGGCAGCGATTCTGCGATTACCAGTACTCTATGGTGTAGCTGAAAATCCTAAGGAAGGCCCCATCAATATTCTAATCAATTTGGTCTGTGGAGTACAGCCAGTTAGTGTTGATGATGTACAACCACGTTTTCCGACATGCACAGATGATGTTTCCCGTGTGCTGTTGGATATGGTCGATATGGGTATAGGTTTCAACCGCAGCCTTGTTGAAGGCATATTCCATTTTAGTGCTAAGGAAAAGATGACGAAATATGAGATGTGCCAGGATTTTGCTGGTATCCTGGATGTGGATATCCAAAACAACGTCATTCCTATCACAGAAAAACCAGTTGAACCTGTTGCATCACGTCCTGACAACCCTCAATTGTCAACAAAATCATTAGAGCTTATTGGCATTAGCGTTGATTGTGTGCCATTTCACGAGTGGTGGACTGTTTATTTAAAGCAGCACAAATAGCTTTTTTACTTGGTCATTTATTTTACTTGCATTATACAAGGGGGTATACATAAAAACGTCAATTATTTGGAGTTTTTTTTATAATAAGTAAAATGTACAAGCGATTTAAGAATAAAGTTGGTTCTGTTACCGTCCAATTCTAATTCTAATTTCTTCGTAGTTGTTGACAGATGTTTATTAATAAAACTTTAGGCTCTGTTAAGATTCAGCTGAATTGTAAAAAAATGCTAGAGAAAAGCCGCCCTCATACTAATAAGCTGCAAATAAGCATATACGCCAAACAGACTTATAAAGTAAGAACTAATAGAATACTCAGTTAGTAATTTAATCGAAAGCAAGAGTAAATGTGTACTCTACACCATTATCGGCTTTAAATTTTACAGAAGAGCCGTCGTATCCCTTAAGTGGGTCAATATCGTAAAGTACATTTCCACCAACTGTTATGCGTCTCTCAATGCTCAATCCGTCATATTTATTGGCAATATCATCCTTCAAATCCTGAACAGTGAAATTTGCTGAAACTTGGTAGACTTCGACTTCGGAAAGATCAGACATTGTTTAGTGGCTTGTGTGTTACTGGAATAACTTGCTCTGTTGTATATTGAAAGGGATTGGTGTTGTTGTTGCTTGTCTGAAAATAAGTTACAACGGAAAGCTGGCCTATTTATATGTCGTGGCAAATGAGTAAAACATTTAAAAGGCCTCTTTTAATTATAACAACTTTACGCAAAATGACCACAAACATTTTTCTATTTGCTTCCGTTACATGATGCACAACAGTCTTGTGGATGGCTCACTTTTCTAGACTTTGGTAAGCGATTGGGGGGGGGAACTCCGAATTTCGCTACACTATTCTTTCTTGCTAATTTGCTTAAAAAAAAGAACCCTTTGTGCGATACTTTCTGCTTTTAGGCGTTCAAGTCCTCCAGGTGACTTGTTTATAATTGCGCCAACGTCAATTTATTTTATACAATTGCAATTGATGATATCCACACATATTGTGCGTCATCTGCTTTGCGTGATAGAAAGTATTTGCTATCTTATTGCAGGCTGTGGGGGGGGGGGTTACATCTACTGCACCCATTGACTTGCTAAGCTCTGTATAGAGTAAAATTTACGTTGCTGCTGAATCAGTAGACAAATAACCGCACTACCAAATTATTGTGGGCTGTTAAATCTAAACTCAAACGTACCGGCTAACCAAAAATTAACTATAAATTGAAAATCACACAATTGTTTGTGGCAAAAGAAAACAAGCTGACTTTCAAAGAAGTGGCAATACAAACGCTTTGAAGGTTGCTTGCTTTTTTTCTAACAGCAGTTATTTACTTATTGGCATTAAAGTCATAAAGCAGACTTTATTGTAACATGTTGCAGGGACCTTTGTGGCCCTGGGTTTATTAGGAGCAACTGGTGGGTAATCCCCAAGAATTCATTTTTTATTGCCTGACTAGTAGAATACTTAATCCGACGAGGGGGCACTTCTGTCTGCTGCCCAAAGTGGGACTTCATCTTTATGTAAGATGCTCAGCCTTTGGCTTTTCCATTTTCTCCATCTAGCAATTATTTATGTTATGTGCTGCGCACAAAACTTCTATAAAACTATATTAGTAAAATGAACAAAAGAAAAAACTGCGGGTAAGTCATGGCAGTTGCTGCGTTCAATAAATTTCTTGCAATTGCAAGTCACTGCAATTGCCGG